AAAAACCAAAGTTGGTAACTACCACACGTTTATGATACACCCCGTATATTGGAAAGTAATTTTAAAATGTGGACCTTTTAAACATGAAAAACTTTCGTAGGACGTATTTTCTTGTAAAGTTCATATTTACTGAGATATCGCACTTTGACGCACTAATGAGCAACCCTGTATATACATAATGTAAGCCATCGCGCGTATGTTCAAAAAAAAATTCTAACTGAACTAATCCAAGACTAAAAAAATTAAACTGAATTGAGAAGGTTTAATCATAAAGGAATCAAAGGGTATATGAAGGGAAAAATCCATTTTGACGCGTCGTAAACACAATTAATTATAGAAATGATACAGAGAATTGAAAATAAGCCCTAATAAATTCGTTTTACATATTTTGCAACTATAAGCTGAAGAGAGATTCGTATCGTCTTAACATCAAGAATGCGATGCGTGATATAAAATAAGAAGACCGAACCCATGTTTTCTGAAATAACCGAGGTATACTCAAATATTTTTTCAATTAAATTCAAAACATATTTATTACATATTATTACAAAACAGCAATGATAACAAAATTAAATATGAAAGATTACAAAATACAGGGTGATTCAAAATTGGCGTCATTCCTCTGGAGGTATTGTCTGGAGCTGTTATAGGAGTACAGAAAAAATAGTAAAATAAATTAATTGTTATTAACAACTGAGAAATTCGCAAAAACCTATATCAGAAATACGGCAGCAATGTTTTTCAAAATAATCTGCCCAATTAACAGTGCGCAAATAACTGTGGCTTGGTAAAAAGTTTGAGCAAAATTATTTTACCTTGCCGGACGCCTCTCTAGACTGGTATTTTTTTGTGACTGTAACCCAGCACCAGCATTTTGACTTGCAAAGTAGCGTGTTAGTTGTTAGTAGTTAGTTGTAGGTAGTGAGTATCTGGAGTCGATACAGGAACGATCCATTGCTTGAAGCACAGCCCAAATTTCAATCGCACCGAAGGCTTTCGGGTAGCTTATAAAGGCAATATGGAAGAAAATATTGTACTACGTGCATTTCTCGATTAATGTGCGCACAGCTTGAATATACAGGGTTATTCAAAATTGGCGTCTTTCCTTTTAAGGGGTGATAGAGGCTCACTTGGGGAGTAAAAAATATTGAAAATTTTTTGTTCGAAAATTTCTAGAAAGTATTAACATTTAAAGATCAAATTTCAACTTCGTTATCAAGCATTATTTAGAAATTGTTCCATGTTGGTAGCTATTGTTAGTTAGTTAATTGGGAGCATATTGGAATATTTAAGCATTCAAATAGAAAAATTACGATCTTTGCTCCAAATTACGAAAATTTTTTATATCAAAAAAGTTCTCTTCTACAAATTTTTGGTGAAAAGGCACAGCGGCAATGATGTTTTTTGTCATTAACAGATAGTTCCAGGTGGATAGCCGTTGTCAATAGTAACAATAATTTGTCAAACTGCAACTTACTTTGAATTTCCTTTTACGAATTTGCGGATATGCGCTTAGTTCAGGGGAAATGCTACAGTCACATAGCAGAAGCTGAAAGAACTCACGCCAACAAAGGGCGAGGAGAGTGGTTCCAGGAAGATAGTGGACGACAATCGGTGTTCGGGTTCCAGACACAGAGAAACAAGTATTGGGCATAATCGAATCAGGGCCTTCCAGGGGCACTCAGAGCACAATAACTGACACTTTCCCAAGCATGAAATAAATACCGAGGAAGCGTTACATTCCTACCACGTTTGTACGATACACACAGCACAAGGTATTTGTATCTACAAATGAAGCACTAGTTAATTAACTGAATACGAGAAGCTGCTTGATGAGAGTGTATAATAAGGAGATTACACAGGCACTAGCTTGTTTGCAGTTAACAATTCAAATGTTTTGGTGTTGTATGGATTATTTGGGTAAACACCAAACGCCGCAGAAATCAAGGTTATGAGAACAGGTTGACATTTCGGAAGTACGTTGCGCAGTCAACGAATCTTGTTCAATTTACCGTTTATCCTTGTCTATCTAATTGGCACTGTATAATTCCATGTTTACCGGAGTTTTTAATAATTTCGAAGCAACAGGTATTTGCGCAATGTTAACTATGCAGATTAGCTTGAAAAACATTGCTGCCGTATTTCTCATATAGTTTTTTAAAAACTTCTTAGTTTTTAATATCAATTAATTTATTTTACTATTTTTCCTGTACTCCTAAAAACCGCCAGACAACATCTCCAGAGGAATGACGCCAATTTTGAATCACCCTGTAGTAACTCGTGCCCAATCCCTTACTGAAGCCAGTTTCTTCGATGGGCTGGTGAAAGTGGAACTTCTGGGTAAGGCGTAAAAGCTCGAAAGAAAACTGACAGTTCTGTAACTCTCTATATTCGCATAGTCACCGTTCTAGAGAAGCAGGAGAACCTCTCCCCCTTTCAATGAGTAGGGAACTCTGCCCTCCTCGAGACATTTGTTCGTGAGTATCAAAATGCTTGTTCTAGCATTTCGCTAGTTATTATATCCTCGACAGGCCCTTTACCGTTCCTTAGAAGACCTAGTGCTGCTCTGAGATCTGCTTTGTCGATTGACTGGAGTTCTTCGCATCCTACATTTAGAATGAGTTTCCTCGGCCTTCCCTGTTTTCCGTGGGGTTGAGCCTGATCAAAGCGGTTACGGTAAAACGGTTCGATGATTTCTGCGATAATCAGCCCTGTGCTGTATCACTCACGTTAACTTTAACGTGCATGTTATCCGTCAAACACGTTATGTGGCTCCAACTGGTGTGTTGTATCAGTAAAACGTTTATATTATAACAGGCGCACGCTATCGACGAACCTTATATGAAGAAATAGAGCTTCAGAATAACAGCATCAAATCATATGCCGCTATCGAACTTAACGTGCATCCCTCGAAGTTAACTTCGGGGAATAAATAAATCAAAGCGTAGTTTTGTTTTTTAGCTATAATTTGTTTTTAATTTAAAAGAAAAATATGTCTTTTGGTGGTCTCATAAGGTTAGCTTTATTAGAACAATTGGTAAATGGTCTTGAAAATAAACTTTATTTTTGTCCACAAACTCTACTAAATTTTCAAATTGTTTGCGGGTTGTTTTTGTGCCTCTTCTGTATATGCTCCATTGAAAGTGTTTGAGATGATAGGTCAAGAACGATAACGAACGAAATTGAAAGTGAATGCAAATCATAAACAAAGACAAGTATGGAAGTAGGTGGCCCAAATGGCCAACACGTGCACCTGTGGCGGTGGTGCATATGTTTTAGGACCTTCGATGGTTTGATGTTATCTCTCCCTCTCTTCTTATTTCTTATAAGGGCATCTCACTTTATGCATCCAATATTTTTTTCCTTTTTAACGTTTGATGGATAACTGGGTCGGAAACGCATACGTTCACTCGGAGATAGAGCACACCTCGGTTGTGTTGCTGCGTTATCGAAAATGTTATCCTGAACTGTTAAGTTGCCATTACGTGTGGCCGTTAAAAATAGCATTTATGAGACAGCACAGGGCTAATTGTCTCTATCGTTAACAACTTTTTTTGGTCGTTTTTCATTTTACGTATTGTAATTTTCCCCCTCGCCAGTCTGGAGCGCAAAACAAACTCTCATACTGTTGGTGTTCTCAATCGTTTCCTTGACCAATTTCGTTTTGTACGCTCTACCGTACTTCAATTAAGCATTGTTATTATTATTGTTAAATTTGCATTTTGCAAGTCATATAGTTGTTAGGGCTCGTATATTCACTACATTATGGATACGTTGCCTGATCATTGTTTTGTTTGTGCCTGTATTATAAGGACTAAGTCATCAGCAAATTAAATAGACCCTAAACCACTGCGGCAAGAAGGTTCAGCAGTCGGTCCATAACAAGATTCCGTTAAATGGTTTACTTTCTGAACAAAAAAATATATTTACAATTATTACTATTATTATTATCATTATTATTATTATTATTACTATCATTATTATTAATATTATTATCATCATTATTATTAATATTAATATTATTATTATCGTTATTATGCTATAATTATTTGTTTATTTCCAGAAATTGGCCGTTTGGAACATGGTACTGCACAATAAGCAATTTCATCGCAAACGCTACTGTGACAGCCAGCGTTTTTACACTCACTGGAATTTCTTGTGATAGGTAAGATATAAGGAACTGGAACAAAATATTTCTGACAAATCATAAACATATCCGAGCCCTAGTACGGTGACAATTTAAAAAATAGCAATGGGTGTATCAGAGGAACCAAAAACGGGATTAATCATGTAAGCCGTTTTCCTGCTTAGTTGGCAAAACGAAATGTATGCATCTGCTCATTTTTCTTTCACAAATGAACAATATTTGCTAAATTTCATCAGGCGTTGTTTATTAAAGACCATATTTTAGGTGTCCCACTGCACAAAAAAAATCACTTGTATTTTGTCTGGGTATTTTGATAGTAACTTTCTTCCTCTACTATCTCCCATTCCATTTACTTGAATAATTATTATCCAGCCATTGCCTATCTGAAAGTACATAATGAGGAGGTGCTGTGTTTTGAGCACTTGTATAATCTATTCGGGCTGCACCTTGTTGCTGTAACTGCCTGACAATACGACCAGGTACATTTCAGGGGAATTTGGTCGAGAACGTCGACTTCAGCTGCTTCCGCAAATAGTTTTGATCAAGAAGACGCCAAATAGATGAAGCCCGTTTCTTAAAAGTAGCAAGTAACTGTAGTATGTACTTATCTGCATATTTTTGGATAAATTATGCAGCAGCTCTTAAAAACGAAAATTCTCAAAGCCATAAATAAGTAGCATTTTTCTACGTTCAGTTTTCTATATAGGATTAAGAAAAAATGAGAGTTAGAGGGCTGGTTCGGGTTCTTTAGCTGGTCTCTGGCGCTTATATCCCTACACTAATTAAAATTTGGCATCCCGAACAAAAAGGGGTTTCATGAAGAAGAAGCATTACTTTTTTTACGCCCGAAAATAATGCTAATTTTCTAAATAAATTATAGCTCAAAAATGCTTTGTTGTGCATTTATGGGGTGTTGAAAACGCATGGAGATATTTTAACGATATTTCACAAGGATCGGATATATGGCAAAAACATAATTTAGCAAGAAAATATTTTTTTAAATTTTGTCCAGTATCATGTGTACGTACACACTACTAAATTTGCAAAAGAAGCAAAAATGGTGCCCCGCTGAATTTTTAATTATTACGATTTTTTTTTTAATTCCCGGTTTAATCCAAATACAACAGATAATAACGAGAATAACATGTTAAGTTCCTTATTGTCTGTCGGTTTCCGTTGAAGTGGACTGTAGTTAAATAAACTTTTCTTTTTGTGCGCGATACCGATTTGAACGGCACTCCCAATACCGACTTAAGCATACGATTGCACCCAACCGACGAATGAAAGCCCGATTATCGGCAAATTGCAACATATGTATTTCTGAACGTTTTTGTTCTAGCGTCTGTTTTTTACAATTATCTTAGCTACTAAAAACAATAAAACTTAAAACGAAATTCGCATTTCGCCCTCTAGACTAACTTAGGTGGTTGGCGCGATAGAGACAAATATATTTTATTTACTCATTTGCCAACATTGTCCAATATATTTATGTTACGTTAGTTATAGGTGTGGTATTCGCATTAGAAGTATTCCCGCTAGAAAGTGAGCGTTTATTCACAACGTATCTATTAACACATTTAATATTAACAAGTAGAAATGGCTGAATTCCAATTTACCCATTAATGTAACTATCTGAAATTCTTTCGACATTAACCTAACATTTATGCTAAACTCGAGGCTAACCGGCAAGTGTCGATTTTAGTCAAGTTCGAAAGTTAACTATAACATACAAGGTGATTTAAAATTAGCGTCATTCTTCTGGAGGTGTTGTCTGGCGGTGTTTTAGGAGTACAGAAAAATAGCAAAAAAAATAAATTGTTATTAAAAACTCAGAAATGTGCAAAAAAACTATAAAAACGCTAACAATGTTTTTCAAGGTAATCTGCCTAATTAATATTACGTAAATATCTGTGTTGCTTTGTCATTATTGGAAACTCTGGTAACCATGGATAAATAGAGAAAGTGACAATAAGATAGACAAGGACAAACGGTAAATTCAACAGGAATCTTTGAATAGCAGAACCTATTTCGAAACTCGTCACCTCAAATTATTAATATGTTTACAATTACAAAAACATGCATTTGAGTCTGTAACTCCAAACTAGCGTCTGTGTAATCACTCTTCTCGAGCAGCTTCTCGTATTCGGTAAATTAACTCCTGCTCAATTTATTCCGGTGTTCAGTTCATTGGTTTCAGTCCATTGGTTTTATGTGATTTTACATACGTGGTAGAAATGTAGCCGGTATTTATTGGGTGCCTGGGAAAGTGTCAGTTGTTGTGCAATGGTAGGTGTGTCCCTGAAAGGCTCTTCTGTAATCATGCCCAATACTTGGTCCTCTGTGTCTGGAACCCGAACATCTATTATCATCTACTATCTTCCTGGAACCAGTCTCCTCGCCCTTTGTTGGCGTGAGTTCTTACAGCTTCTGCTATGTTACTGTGGCATTTCCCCTGAAATAATCGTCAAAGATCGAATTTTTTCTTTTCGAATCTTTAAGTATTCCAATATGCATCCAATTAAACACGGAACACTTTCAAAATAATGCTGCTTTTTTGTGCTTTGCAAAGTTGAAATTCGGTTTTTAACTGTTAGTATCTTCCAGAAATTATCGAAAAACAAATTCAATAATTTTCTCGTATCTTCCAAGTGAGCCCCTATTACCCCTTAACAGTAATGACGCCATTTTTGAATCACCCTGTATATAACGAACGTTTGATAATGTGGAAAAAGTTTTCATACATACATACACTTCATACAAATGTTTTAATCTATTTTTGAGGAGTTGATATAAAAAAATATTTTTGATTGAAACTTGACGAGAATCTTGACATGACATTTAAACCGGTTGTAAACCAAGCCAAAATTTCCAATAAATTTATTTTATTTTTTTTATTTTTACTGAATAAAGACAAAGCTCTATGATACTTATTTCTGAGTTTTTGTCATGTCGTGCTAAAAAGTTTCCATTGGATAAATATCTAGCCTGCCGTAGGAGTATACTGAATACACATTAATATTATTTCAGTCAAACCACTTTTGCTGTATGACAACGTATTTTTCGAAAATCTCATCTTTGGTCGGACGACGTTTTCCTGGGCTGGGTGACAGGCCTTGTTTGAAAATGTTTTGATATTCAATTTTGTTTACTATGCCTTCAATAAAGTGAAACTCTCCCACCCATTCGTTTATCCCACATACATTCTCACGCTAGTTTACTTTAAAATTTAAAATATGCTTTATTCTCACAGAAAACACACTTTGAGGAAAATTTACTATTATCAGAAGCTTCATTTGTCTTCGATTTACATGCTATCGGTGATCTCCTACAGAAGCACGAAATTTGCTTTTGCCACCATCACAGTGAGTGTTTGTCGCAGTTTCAATTTCCAAGTTTAGCAAAATTTTTTCTCTCCCACTGTTAACAATGTTAATCGTGGTCAGTCAAGCTTGGACTATAATAATTCGTTATTAAAAAGCATAAGGCCATTGAGGATATTTTTCTACAGCCTTTCCTGGAATCGTATACATACCATGTTTATTACTGGTATACACTTGACAGTAATTAAGCGCAAAGTATATCTTCTACCTTACATGCATGTTTCAATCAACTTTCTTAATTAAAAAATGTACAAATAATTGCCCTTTCTCTATTTTTGAAACGAAATTAAACAACATCGTTGTAACCAGAGGTTGCAGCAGTTGCTGCAACGCGCATTTTAAACCTTTATGGTACCGAATTCTGTAATCTAAGTATTATGGTTTATAGGAACAAATGAAGGAACAAACTGGATGTACAGGGCTCAAGACCGCAAACATGCGAAGAGAAATAGAAAACGCTTACGTTCAGCAATGGTCGGTTGAGAGTTGATGAGAGTGAAATATTCCGTTTTCGTTTCTTATTAGGTTCGGTTTTAAGACGATGAAAGTCTGCAGAAGTAAAATTTGAACACCTTGCAGGCTATTCCATTGCACTTATTTTACACTTACCGGGGTATAGCTTATTCATCTAATATATAACGGATTGTAAAATAAGATAGCACTCCATCTGAATGGAAATGAAAATTTCTGTCATCAAACAGTAGGAACCCGCTTTCATACCTATGCTTTAATAACGATTGTATGATAAGTGGCTGTATCGTATTTGCTAAAAGTTGATAATATGGCTGTCTTGTCTCTCTGTAAGTTGATAGTTTGACTGGACCGTCGTATCTCCATCTTTCAGAAAATGTGAGACAGTCAGTTATTAGTATCATTATAAAATCATACAGATCCTTGCTGCATGATGGCATAAAGCTAAATTACCACTTAGTAGATGAAGCTGATGCTCATTTTGCTTTACCAGTTGGATAGTAATCAAATAAGCGATCTCTCAGATAATGCAGAAGAGGTGCAATTGAATGGCCAGCGAAGTCTCCAGGTCTGACACCTCCCGACTTTTTATGGTGTCATTTGACATCAAGTATTAACAAAGCGCTAGAAAATTAATCAAATTATTCAAGAAAGACATATTAACGTATTATCAGACGGAAAATTGCTGTCTTTGCCGAAACACTATGCCTTCTAACTTGTGAACTGATTATCAAATTTTACTTTTTACTTTTTCCTACATAATTCGATAGAAAACTTAATTTTTTTAAATTGGTTTGTTACTTGACACGGGAAATAATTTTATTTTACAGCTAAAACAATTGTAAAAGAAAGCTTACAATTTCCCTTGTGCGCTAACTAGATATATAGAAATAGATAGACCTTGTGAGATAGACAGACCTTATGATGATGATAATTTGCTTTAATAAAATTGAATGTTTCACTGCAGACAACTACATTTATAAGATTAGCTTTTCTAATAAATCTCGTATTTAAGGCTATACGCTCAAAAAATGTCAGTTGAATGTTGAGCTAACTTCAGATTTCGGCAAACGAGAAGTAGGAAATCGAAGCCTTTTGCGCCAACTACGTCGTCTCTCCATACAATTGTATCCATCTCCCGTCTCCCACTGGAGCACGCTTGCTTTG